AAGTACTCAGGATTATTTTGATAAAAATATGGCGTGTCTAACGAAATTAGAACTGATTTTGCTGACTCCAGACTCAACATTTCTTAGGGTTTTTTTTTATATAAAAGAATGGAATTCCCATTACTATATCATATACAATAGAAATATTTCGTTTAAGGATATATTATTGGAAATGTTTGGTAGAGAATTTATTAAGTATCATTTTGGTATCAAATTCATCTCCCTATCACAATTAGCCACACTTGAGCGACCCTACCCCCCAAAAAGGTTCACTTCCGTCAACACACCAACACCATCTACACACCACTCACACACTCCCAGCAAGGGAATTAAGACACATATGTGTGTGTGTGGCTGCATGGTAGCGAGTTATATATCAACTGTTGAGGAGCGCTTGGCAACACAGGTAGTAGGCAGCTATCAAACAGGGAGGTACTTCCGCCTGGGAAGATATTGGAAGCATAATGTGTTGTCTAATGGTAGACCCTGCTGCCATATGGCATCACGAATATTGTGACCAAGTCCCAGGTTGCTGATCTCTCTCTCTGCCTCATTTACACACAATTGCAGGATCTCAATTGTTTCTCTTACTATTGACAACACAACATACTATACATATAGGGTTTCTCACTATTGATTATTGTTTTCTTTTCTTTATTATCATTATTACAGTGTTGTTGTTATTATTATTATTTTATTTTACTTCTTATTATAAATTTTATTTACTATGAATTACTATTATTATTAAATTTTCGCCCCCCCAGGCCCCGATGTGGGTCAGTGACCTGTGCCCGGGTGGGCTAATCCCCATTAAAAAAAAAAAACTCATTTCCACTCCATCTCTCTAATCACCCACACCTTTCTGCTTACTCACTCCATATTTTATAATGTTATGTAACATGATGTTGAAGGGATACAACTTTGCTCATTTATACTTATATCTGTACTTGCCACAATCTTTAAAAATATTTTAGGTTTCGTGTTTATTCAAGACATCTTCAGGTCTTGAGACCCACTAATCCCCAAGCCAAGGAAGGCTGACCTGACGTTCCATCAGAAGGTCAATAATATGAGACCACTAATCCCACCCTACCTCCACCTAACATTGCATCAGGTCAGATCAGGTACACAAGACCCACTGATCCCCCACAGCTCCATGGGTGTGGAAAATAAGTCTTTGCTGTAACACAGCTTCAATCATTCCCATATCCTTTAGATTTTTAATTTTTAAATATAATTATTTAACCAAACTTTTAGATAAACTATTCTGGATTATTATAGTAAAGAAATTAAGTTTCTAACTTAATTAGAACTGTATTTGTGGATTCCTGTAAAGACTCAAGGAAAACATCTCCAGCACCCAGAAATGTTCTGGGGAAGTGGGCTAGTGTGCATCTGTGCAAGAGGTCTAGTTTAGGCACCTGGAAACTTTTCCTAGTAACCGGAAAAGGTTCCGGGGATAAGGAATTTTTCCGTGTTTGAGAAAGTGGTCATCCCCGGAAGTGCTCTGCACCAATTGTTCCGACTAACGGGGATATCACTGTATTTATACTTATTTCACTGTTTCATTTTTGTAGTTACTTAATCTTTTGTGATGAAACAGGAGCGAATTGTGTGTGGTGATTATTCTTTTAATAAATAGTGCTTTACTCACCATAAGCTGGCTGCATCTACCTGAACCGTGGGCCATATTAAATAGAATTTCTCAATCACTTCGCGAGTCGCACAAAGACATGGTTCGGGCTGTGGGTTGTCCATGCCTCCTGTACTGTATTGTTACAGTGTACAAGGATGGAAACTAAAAGGAATCCACCAGTAACTTGTCAGGAAGATGTGGTCTCATCATCTTACAATTCTTTATACTTGTACTGCACTGTACACTGTAATGTACCGCACATGGTCTGCTTCATAAATGGTTTTCACAGTTTTATTCCCTCATCACCATTAGCTGAATTTAGTCTGCATCAAGATACACAAGAAATTAATAGAGTGCAGGAAATAGACTTCACATTTGCGTAATACTTATGGTAAATGTTCAGTTTAGCTCAGTCATTATTGTCCTATGAATCAGGTGGGGATAAAAAGGAATCAATGATCTTACAAACACAACATAACACGGCTCCATCCACACTATTGTCAACAATGCTAACTCAGAGATTTTACCATGTTCACTTCTCTATGACAACACATAACATGAGCCAACTTAACTTAAACTACACTAATGCTAACCTAAACCAATCTGACATAACTTAATCCAGTGTTAACCAAACCTGACCAAAAATTAAACCAAATGATGTTGGGTTTTATTAATATGTCACCGCCCTAAAGGATGTAGCTAAGTCCGTTGCTTCTGTGAGTCGCCCCAGAATGCATTATCCTGTACAGTCAGTCCTCGACTTACGACGGGGTTAGGGACCGACGACCGGGTCGGAAGTCGAATTGGTCGTAAGTCGAAAATGCGAAAATAATACAGCTCCTCCCCGACTTACGACCTACTCGACTTACGACCACCCGCACTTACGACCTGCCTCAGTCGTACCAAAATTTTGTCAAATTACGTATTTTCGAGTCCCAGCGTCGGTACACAGACAAAATTTTTTTTTGTAATTCACTTTAAAATGGCTGGCAAGCTTAAAAGTGAGAGTTTTGTGATGCTGAGAAGAAAAAGAGACACCCATTTTAGATGTTCTATGTATTATTTAAGCATTTTCAACTTACGACTATTTCAACTTACGACCTGGATTTGGGTCCCTAACCCCGTCGTAAGTCGGGGAGGAGCTGTACATAGAAAATCTAAAATTGGTGTCTCTTTTTCTTCTCAGCACCATGTGAACTCTCACTTTTAAGCTTGCCAGCCATTTTAAAGGGAATTACAAACGAAAATTTTGTTAGTACACAATGCGATCACTAACGTCGGGACTCGAAAATACGTAATTTGAAAATATTTTATATGACTGCGGTGGTCGTACAGGTTGTACCTCTCTAGTCCGGCAACCTCGGGACCTGACCGGTGCCGGACCATGGAAATTCACCCTTTTCCTGGTTAGATAGTGACTTGTGCTTATGCCTGGAAGCACTAGCACCACTTTCTCTGCGTCATGGTCTCTTTGAAGACATATTGAAGGGTTAAATGTCGTATAGTAGCTTCTCAAATTTCGCGAGTTTTTAATTCTTAACGTATTTTATTGGAACACACAAAAAAATAAATAAATAAAAATTTTGACGGCGGAAACTTGAATTTCGACGGGTTTGAACGGCCCGCCAACGTGCAGACGACGTGCATAATCGTGTAAACAGGGTCATTTCTCTTATGTACAAAAGATTCATTATTGTTTATTACTGAATGTCTTTTTTATTGAATTAATGTTTATATGTGCAAAATGAGCAATACAATTCATTAATAATACGTAGAACATTAAAACACATGAGGAAATGACACAGCATTGTTTTCGTTGATTACAAAACCAGTGACTGACTGGTTCTACATATAAAACTGAAGAAAATAAGACCTTGGTTGTAGCTGTAGTAAAATTAATATGGTTGTTTTAAGTAATGTTATTTAATGTTAATAAATGGAACAATAGAAGTAGCTAACGATAATGGTAAAGAAAAAGAGAGATCGCATATGTAAGTGCGCATGCGCACACGTGAAAACATATCGTCATTACTTTACATAAGAATATGAAAGCAACACTTATTTACTGTTCATATATATTTTAATTAATGTTTCTGAATTTGTTTTTATTGAATTAATGTACGTGTGTGCAAAATTAACAATACAATTTATTAATAATACGTGGAATATTAGAGGAGACGAGACGGCTGCCGGCATTGTTTATGTTAAAGCTTACGAAACCAGTGACTGATTGGTTCTACATATAAAACTGAAGAAAATAAGACCCTGAGTTTAGCTGTAGTAAAATTAATGTAAAAAATGAATATGGTTGCTTGAAGTACCTGTAATGTTATTTAATGTTAATAAATGGAACAATATAAGTAGCTAACCATTAATGGTAAAAAAAAAAGTGAGACTGCTCGTATGTAAGTGCGCACATGTGAAAATATATCGTCATTACTCTACATAAGAATATGAAAGCAACACTTATTTACTGCTCATATATATTGAAGGGTTAAATGTTGTACTCTGTATAGACAAGCAGAGAGAGAGAGAGCAGCCGAACTGCCGGATGTAAACAAACCTTAATTTCCCGCGGCATTTTTTTTTTAAGGGGATTAGCCCACCCAGGCATAGGTCACTGACCCACATTGGGGCCTGAGGGGCAAAAATTTAATACTCCTGTAATAATAATAATAATAATTCAGATAAAAAAAAAAAGAAAAAAAAAAGCTGCCTATCTACCTATTGGACAAACTAGAATCGTTCCTGACCACGGGAGTTTCCGGACCACAGAATGCCGGACTAGAGAGGTACAACCTGTATGTCCTGGTGGTCGTAAGTCGAGTAGGTTGTAAGTCGAGGAGTACAGTACCTGTACATTGTTTTAAGTTGTTTTCTTATGCAATTGTGTAATACAGGTATGGTGATATCTCCATTAGCCGGAACAGTTGGTGCGGAGCACTTCCGGAAATGAGAGATTTCTAGGTAACAAGACGACTCTCAAAACCGGAAAGAAAATCCCTCGTCCCCGGAATTTTCTGGGTAACGAAAAATTTTTATCAGAATTTCCAGAAAAAGCGCCTAATTTTCTTCTCTCAAACCCGGAAAAAAAAACTCACCCATCCCCGGAATTTTCTGGAATTTTCCGGAAAATTAGCTTCTCGGAAAATCATTCCCAAAGCCGGAATTTTCCGGAAAATTCCGGCTTTGGGAATGATTTTCGAAAACATTTCAATTCCGGTTATCAGAGAGTTCTAGGTTTGAGGGATTCCGGCTAACGGAGATATTACTGTACAGGTAGTTGTACATTATGACAGTGATTATTTGACATAATGAATGTTTTGCTGTACATAACTAACTATGTTGTCGTAATGTATTTCAGGATGTCACCACCTTTTCACTCCAGCTGCTTTGGGACTCGATAATTTTACAGAAGTCAGGGAGAGGACGGCATTTCAGTTCACGAATATGTCGGATAAGTTTAAGATGCGGATGGAGGAAATAATTGCCTCTAAGGGAAAGACAATGATATTTACTGAGGACCTGAAGAATGTGGTGCACCTAGCAGAGGCCAAGGATGAGGACCTCTCATTAGTGATGGAGATGACCAAAAAGTATGTGATGGATGGATGGTAATTATACTGTAGTTGACTAGAAAAAATGGTTGAAGTGTCTTAATGTGATCCTTTTATTCCCTAAACAGAGAGAGAGAGAGAGAGAGATAATAAACGGTTTATTAATAGAGTTGCAGCCGGTGGCTGAAAATATACAGACTTACATTTGATTTAGACATAATGATATAATATGCATTGAATACATTTACAGGCCTGTACAGTACATCAATCAGGAGTTGTTTATTATTTTAACAATAGATGGGATGGTGCTGTTCTTATATCTATCGGTGCGGGCTCTTATGGGCTGAATTTTGTTGTAGTGGCGGACTGCGCGAGGTGGGCGGGGGGCTACCGGTGGCAAGGGTTGGCGATGACGAGGGTGGTGCATTAATTGGCTGCCAAACCTTTCCAGTGCTTGGTGGTGGAGGTCACTGAGGGATGGCATTTCCAGGGTGGAGAGAGCGTTGGTGTAGCCGGAGTATTCTGCGCCGAGCATGATTCTGCAGGCCCTTTTTTGTACCTTCTCTAGCTGACGTTGTTGGGTGGAGTTGAGAGAAAATGACCAGGCTGGTGACGCATACGTTAGTTTGGGGAGAATAAAGGTGTTGTAGATGGTCCTCAGCTCTGGCGTGGGTGTCCCAAGTGACCTAAGTCTTCGTAGCATGTAGAGGCAGTACGAGGCTGCCTTGACTGTGTTATTTACATGGGCGTTCCAGTCAAGTTTGTTGTCTATAGTTACACCCAGGAGTTTGGCAGACTGCACCAGCTGGAGAGGATGGACACCCACTGTGACTGCTGGGGCTTGCACTGGAGTGGTGGCGGTATTGATGTGCATGACTACGGTTTTGGTGTGGTTGATGGTGACCTTGTTCTCTGTAGTCCATGCGTGTAGCCTGTCCAGGGTGCCTTGTAGCGATGAGTAGTCTGGTGCGGTGTTGTCCACTGAAACCCCCACAGTGCGGTCATCCACGCACTTCCACCTGTGAGGAGTGTCCGTTAGAGTGTCATTGATCAGGATGAGGAAGCACAGTGGTCCCATCTTGGTCCCCTGGGGAACACCACAGGTGAGGTGTTGGAATGTGGAGACCAAGCCCTCATACCTCACTGCTTGGCGACGTCCACTCAAGAAATCAGTGAGCCATGAGACCAGGTTGGTGGGCAGCCCTAGTGCAATAGCCTTGTTGATAACAGTGCAGTGATCAACAAGGTCAAAGGCCTTCCTGAAGTCCACAAGGGCAACTGCCAGTGATGTCTTACATTTCTGCAAGTTTTTGTGCAGAAAATCCAGAAAGCTCACCAAATAGTGTGATGTAGAGGAGGTCCTCATATTGCCAAATTGCTGTGGATCAATTGACTGATAGATACTGGCAAATGCCCACTCAAAAACAAAGTCCTCACAGAATAGACTATGTATGGGGGTAATGGCAACTGGCCTGAGGTCGTTAGGGGACTGTGGGGTGGTGACCTTGGGTATGTGGGTGACAAATGCGGTTTTCCATTCATTAGGGCATTTGCTTTGTCTGAGGGATGCATTAATAATAGAACAGAGGGGGGTGGCAAGTTCGGCTGCAAATTCCTTGTATATTTTGATTGGGAGGTCAATTGTGGTCGTGGAGTGTTTGGATTTAAATTTCAGGAGTTTGTTGGCGATTTCATATGGTTGGACACTGGGTGGGGGAAGGTAAGTAAGCTGGGAGGAGAGTGAGGTCAAGACTGGGTAAGGTATGACATATGGTAGCAAAATGGTTATTAATTATCTCAGCTGCCTCCTCACTAGGTACTTGTGAGATGAAAGGAAGTGTGGGAGACTGACGGTTGAGACCACAGAGATCTTTTACCTTGGAGTACCACTGACTGATGCCGACTTCCTTGAGGCCGTGCACTTTCCTGGGATAATAAGTCTTCTTGGCCGACTTGATTTCCCTGATGACCTGGTTACGTAGACTTTTGTACAGGCTGTTGTTGGTGTAGTATGCCTTGTTGCGCTGCTCAATAAGTCTTTTTATGCGGGGCGTAATCCACGGGACATCATCGGGGTGGATCCTCAGTGTCTTGGCTGGAAAGAAGTGGTGGTAGGCTTTGGTGATAGTGTCCAGGTAATTATCCCACTTGTTCTGCACATCGTCTACCGTGATCACTTCAGTCCAGGGATACCGGGTTATCCATTGTCCAAAACGCCGCATAGCAGAGTCGGGGGTGGGTCGGTAAGTCCTGGTGGCAACTGGCGGTGGTGAGAAGGTGGGGGTAGGTGACCACAGCAGGGACAGGTGGGGGCTGCGTCCCATGGGAGGCAGCGGCTGGGGGGGAAGGTAGTGGTTACCGAGATCAGTCATGATGGGGTCCACGGTGGCATTGCCTTGTGTGGGAAAGTCTACTATTTGTGTAAGGTGGAGGTGTTGGGTGATGTCACTGATGTCTAACTCATGGAAGTCACCGCATATCACTAGTTTAGCACATGGAAATCTGGATCTCAGGGAGTCAGCAGTGTCTCTAATATGAGTACAGTGGGGTATGCTATAACGAATCTAACTGGTTCTAGAACCTTGTTCGTTATAGCATTCGTTCGTTATAGGATTAATCCGTTCCAGGCCCCCAAATACAACCACTTAACACTGAAAAATATAATATAAAATTGTAAAGATTGTAAAAAAGTGCATACATATGCATCTAAACCTCTGAAATAAAGAATATCATTAATACTTGTAATAAAAAAACAATAAATTAGTAAAAAAAAAAATTTTTTTTTTTTAAATAATGTTCGTTGTAGGAGTTTCGTTCTTTATAGCATTCTCAATTTTATAGGTAAAACCGTTCATTATAGGAATATTCGTAGTAGGATCCGTTCTTTATAGCATACCCCACTGTAATAAGTACATTGGCGGTTGGTGCGCTGGGGGGATGATAGCATACACAAACAATGAGGGAGGCAAGCTGGCAGCGGTGGGAGGTGGGAGTGACCTGAACCCACAAGGCTTCTACATCTTCAGGTACATTAACGCCTAGGGGTGATGGTTTGAGGTCACTGCGACAGTACAGAACTACACCACCACCTCTCCTGTCCTTTCTAAGGTGGTGAAATAACTCATAGTTTTCTATGGCACAGATCTCAGGAACAATTTGCCACGCCTCGGTACTCGCCACAATACCTGCACCAACTGAACTTCACTGTGACACTGACCTCCTCCACCTTGTTGCATAAAGATGTGACATTGGACAGCAGTAGGGATGGTAGGCTGTACCATAGTCGCGGCACTTCATAGCGAGTACACTGTCTTTCAAGTACTGGTTTGACTTTCCTATGCTAGCTCAGCGTGATGATGGGGATTCGTCTGGGAATGCGGCGACCCCGTCTGCAGCCGCGGTTGTGGAAGATACTCAGCGCCTTTAGTAGAGTGATGGTGTGGGGTGGAGGATAGCCAGCACCAGACTTCAGCCGAAACAGGTCGGTGCGACGACACCGTGCCACTGGAACAGACATATTCACAAGTCTGGCACTTACAGTCACTGACACCTTGAGAATACGCACTGTCTACCCGTAAAAGTACTGAACTGCCTTAAGTACCTACAGGTCGACGTGATGACCTTGGCTGCTACTGAGCGCCAGGAGACACGTCCTCACTCAGTGAGGTCACTAAGGTGTGTGTGTGTGTGTGTGTCACACATAACATCTGCACTAATGTAGTTCATTTGATGTAAAATATGCATACAGGTATCCCTCGTTTAATGACCAGGATAACTTTCCTGAAAACTGATCGTTATGTGATGTGATCACTAAACAAGGGATAACAAGAACTTATATCCGAAATGAGAAATAATATCTATGGAGATGGTAGTTAGCACACACAGTTGAGGAGAGGGGAGCAGTGTGGGGATGTCCCAACTGTTTGCTGTCTTGTGTCCCGTGTGGATTGAAACAATTGCCAAATGGCAAATCGGGGGAAATTACGTAGAATTTGCTAAACAGTAAACCCTCGCCCTATGCGAGGATTAGGTTCCTCCAAAACTGGTGTGTTGGGCAGAATCATGTTGGGAAACTTAACTTATGGGTAAAATGGGGTGGTGGGATCATGGCTGCGTATGGGCTCTTATGACATGAAATACCTTTTAAACATTATAAAATTATATTACTGTACACTCGCAACAAAAAGTATCGGTGCATACTGTAGTGTGAACAATTTGAGACCAGTGACGATAGGTATTGGGAAAGGCGAGTTGTTCCAGCCGTATGTTGGCAGCCCTGTAATCCTGCTGAGCAGCTACTATGGCCTGGTCAAGTGAAATAAACCGTTATAAATAAGGTCGGGAAGTGATAAATAGACAGTATTTGTGATACTTGTGAATATTGCCACTTTAATTTATGCTACCAAATAAACCACTCAACCTGGTCGTCCTGAGGGGTGGTGCAGCGTGGACGGCAGCTCCGAGACCTGTCGTCTGTAGCACCAGTTTCGAGGTATCGCCGAATCCATCGTGCAGCGGTGTTCCTGTGGACACCAACCCGCCGGCTAATATCTGTGACGTCGAACCCTTCGTTATGAAGGGCAATAATAGCTCCTCATGTTCCCTCTGAGGTTTCCATGTCGTCTGGTATGTGTAGATCTCTACTGCTTCATGTTGCCTCTGTTTTATACCCACGTTCACCGAGACTGAACCCTCGCTCATCTTTCAGTCGACACAAAGCAACAATCCGAAAAGAGGAAACAAACACACTGATTGTCAGCCATATGGCAACACCTAGTGGGGGGGGGTTATGAGGATACACTTACCAACCTTCCCGGCATATCACAGTGTATACGTATCGTTTCGAAAGGCGTCGATCACACTCTGCACCGATACTTTTTGGTGCGAGCGTACATACTGTACTCAGCGATCCATGCTACGCTATCGACAACAGATCCTTTCTCATTCACTTGTCCACTGATCCAGACATTTAATAGTTTTCCATTTTCTCTAAGTACCGCTCCCTCCTTGGTACTTGAGCTACTATAGCACTAAGAGATGCAGATGCTTTCACACTTGCACATATTTTGTCCTCACAGATACAAATAGTGTGTATGGTGGCTTCATTTACAGTTCTCACAGGCAAGTGTTGCTACACATGCTCCATCACGTAGCCAATCTAAAATCTTTATTTTTTTGGATAATGGCATCACTTTTCTACATTTCTTGAGTGTGCTACCATCACTAGCATCATCTCTGCATTTGGGGGACATACTGCAAGGGCAAACACACAAAACAACGCAAAACCCAAAAGTTCCAAGACTGCATTAGTACAATGTTGGACGAGCGCATAAGCAAGACTGTTGGGCATCTCCAACTGGCGCGTGGCTGAGGCATAGCGGAGGAGGGGGAGGTGGCGTGTTGTTAACCCGCTTATATTCAAATCTTCAGTGTTGGACAAATTATTTGGTCACATACAGGATGGTATTTAAATGCGTGTAGTGAAAATTGCGTTGGACAAACCAGCATTCGGTGAGGGTTCACTGTATAGAAATTAAACTACTGTACACTACAGTAAAGTAACATTCAGCAAGTCCATGTACAAGTATTTTTGCAGTGTATTTTACCCCTTCACCACCCTCATGGCACCATATAATGTTAAGATTCACCTCCGAACTCAAGGACTTGTGGGAAAGCTTGGCCTTGCATGATAAGGAAGGCAAAACAGCAGTGCACTTACCCAACATTATATCAAAGTTCACTTTATACACTATCACAATAGTACACTGTTATCTAACTTAGTCCATAGAGTAGTCAATAATCTATAAAAAGTACATAAGGGACGATGCACAGAGATTGATAATGTATGCAGAGATAACAGCGAGGTACAGTAGACAGTGATCAAATGACATGCAGTAAACACTAGTACAGTATGCTCTCAATTTATAGGAATCTGATATCTTGAACTCTTGATTTAGAGGAAGGAAATTTTCCGTTATTTTGCACTTGATTTAGTGAACTTGTTTGCTAAATCGAGATTAATTCCATTAATATGCTCACACCTACGGGGAAATAGAAACATTATTCATGGGGGTTCAGGGTTTCTTTTAAATTTTCTCTGTAATTTCCAAACTTTTTTTCCCAATTGATGGCACTCTTGACTTTCTCCCCAACACCACTTCCTTTCTGAGACATCTGAGAGACTTTTGGCCTAATGTCTAAGCACAGTAGTTAGTTGACCTAGATGTAGACCGAGGTAGCAGTGTACAGTACTTTGTGTGCATTACTTTTATTTAATTCATTTTATTAAAACTGTGTTTCTTTCATAAAAGTTGGATACATTTTTTTAAGTTTAACAAATTTATTGGCAAAGCTTGGAATGCAGTTTGCCTATTCTGAGTAATTCAGTCAGGTCTTGACACTGAGAGTGGCATCACTTCTCACTGCCACTAAGACAGAGGTTCATACACAAAGAAATACATCATATTCATTAACAGGTATATATACAGGTACTCCCGACTTCTGACGGGGTTGGGGACCCACATCCAGGTAATGAAGTCTAAGAAATGGTGCGTAAGTCGGAAATGCTTGAATAACACATAGAAAATCGAAATTTAGGTCTCTTTTTTCTTTTCAGCACCACAACACACTCACTTTTAAGCTTGCCAGCCATTTTAAAGTGAATTACTGAGTGAAAATTTTGTCTGTGTACTGACTTTGGGACTCAAAAATACATATGACCATATATATATAGTTGTACCCCAACTTGTGATCCGTAATAGAACCCAGAGGGTCCCGTTAAGTGAAATCTGCGTTAAGTGAACAACAGAACATATGGGATTAATTCCAATAGAAACCAGCCGACCCCCAACTCCACTTTTTGAAGACACATAACTATTGGGCTAATGAAATATATATGGATCTCAGGCTGGGTTTTGCGGTAAATGATACGGGGTGTGTGAATATAACAAAGTCAGGACTGCTTTTAGTATCCTGGTGGTCCAGCGCCATGCCTGGTCACAGTCATAAGGGCCGCGGGGTTCGAATCCTGGCGTGGCTGGGAGGTGTTGATTGAGCAGAAGTCCGCTGCTATTGGGCTAATGAAATATATATATATATATATATATATATATATATATATATATATATATATATATATATATATATATATATATATATATATATATATATATATATATATATATATATATATATATATACACTTCATTTTTAGTCCATATAACACGCGGACTTTGAACATATAATCAACGACCTCACCAGCAAGGAATCGAACCCTCGACCTACTGGGTGTGACGGAACGCTTACCGGCTAGGCCATAAGGACACTAAAAGCAGTTCTAGACTCTGTTATATATCACACAAAGCCTGTTCATCGAGCTGATGGCGCCATGAACCTCATTGGGAAACTGCCCGTGCCTCTTATGTGGTGTCAGTAGCATTTTACCGAATCCAGCTGGTATGAAATGTGAGGTACATATATATACTTCATTTTTAGTCCATATAACACGCGGACTTTGAACATATAATCAACGACCTCACCAGCAAGGAATCGAACCCTCGACCTACTGGGTGTGACTAGGGAACGCTTACCGGCTAGGCCACAAGGACACTAAAAGCAGTTCTAGACTCTGTTATATTTCACACAAAGCCTGTTCATCGAGCTGATGGCGCCGTGAACCTCATTGGGAAACTGCCCGTGCCTCTTATGTGGTGTCAGTAGCATTTTACCGAATCCAGCTGGTATGAAACGCGAGGTACATATATATACTTCATTTTTAGTCCATATAACACGCGGACTTTGAACATATAATCAACGACCTCACCAGCAAGGAATCGAACCCTCGACCTACTGGGTGTGACTAGGGAACGCTTACCGGCTAGGCCACAAGGACACTAAAAGCAGTTCTAGACTCTGTTATATTTCACACAAAGCCTGTTCATCGAGCTGATGGCGCCGTGAACCTCATTGGGAACTGCCTGCGTTTCAGCCGGGTAAGCGTTCCCTAGTCACACCCAGTAGGTCGAGGGTTCGATTCCTTGCTGGTGAGGTCGTTGATTATATATATATATATATATATATATATATATATATATATATATATATATATATATATATATATATATATATATATATATATATATATATATATATATATATATATATATATATATATATATATATATATATATATATATATATATATATATATATATATATATATATATATATATATATATATATATATATATATATATATATACACACACACACAAGTAAATCACTGTAGGTGCGCGTGATCTAGGTATATGCTGATAACCACAAGGAAAGAAGAAAACACGAAGTTCCCAAGCGCTTTCGTGTAATTCACATCTTCAGGGGTGAGTACAGATGTGAATTACACGAAAGCGCTTGGGAACTTCGTGTTTTCTTCTTTCCTTGTGGTTATCACATTCGTTAGAAACTCATCAAATACCATAGGAAAAACATATTTCTAATATCCAAAGAAAATACGGTGCACTACTATAAATTGACCGAAAGATTTACCAATAAACATGTGTAATGCAATGTGTCTTTTATTTTTATCTTAAGGTAACTAGTTTTTTATAATTTACTGTGGATTTATTTTAATATTTGAGACAATAATTTTTTTTTACTTTATACTTTCAGTACTGAAATACTTTATGAATGAGATACTTGTTTACTTCTACTTGAGTAAAATTTTGCCTATGTAATAACACTTTTACTTCAGTAACAAAGTCTGGTACTTTTTACAACTCTGACACTTCTGTACATGTTGCTAACACAAGCAGTATGTCACATCAGCCTGAAGTCCCACAAATTGCTCAAACATTGTCAGCCTAAACATCTTATCTATCAAAAGGAAGAGCAGTATCTCACATTTAATGGTCATAATTTATAAATTCTATTTGGGCAAATATCCATATTGCAAATGTTTGTAATGTGGGGGAGGGGGAGCACTTTTCTGCAGATGGTGACTTAACCCTCTGGTACTCCTGGCTGGTCGGAAATCTCAACCCTTCGCAGTCTTTTGACACAAATAATGTGGGTAACAGGAGCAGTTTATCCATTTAGTAAATATTGAGTAGAGCGATCTAGACCCAAATTGCACCTTTAGAGGTGCAACTGTCAGCCCACGAGGCTAGTGGGTGCTCTCAGTGTGAGATACAGCTGAGTGAGGGGGGGGGGGGTCATGCCAACACAGAAATGCTTAGCAATGTAATCTGCATCAAAAGACCATAAGAGGGCTAATTTGGATGTGAATAGAAATTTATCTAAATTCTATATCATATTATTGTACTTCTATGGTTATATTCACTGTCATGTGTTCTATTGTGAGACTGACACACTCCTTCCTTCACAGGTTCAACCAGCAGCATCAGGGCCTTCGTTTTGGGGCGTTTGTGTTTGGTCCAGTCGTTATGAGGATGTACCATCATTTAAATCAGCCTGATGCTGCATTACAGGTAAGTCTATTATTCAGGCAATCTTACTACAGGTACTACAGTATTGTGGTACAGTACACTGTGGCCAGAGAGATGTTGCTCTACTGATTAATTACATTTAGTATTTTCTGAGTTACTGTACCACCTTGACAGGAAGCTGGTTGAGCCAAGACTTGATCTACGACTGGTAAGGGAACTGAACAATATAATGTACAGTCTGCCCCCAAGATTTGTGCATTTTTACTTTGCGGTTCTCGTTTATTCGCGGATGACACCCTGGATGTACCCAAGAATGTCTGTGGGTAGTTTTAAAGTTGCCGATATTTTTGCGGCTGGGACAGGGAGCCATTCGTTCTAGAGACAGTAATTTCCTCTACCTGTATTGTAAATATGTGTGTGTGTGTGTGTGTGTGTGTGAGGGTGTTAAGCTTAAGAGATAAGTCACATAATGTCGGGATGGACCTCAATAGCTCCAGTTCATTCCTGGGCTCGCCAAGTAGCTATCAAGCTCCTTCAGTTGAGGAGTTTGTGGATGATTGTTGCCTCCACAGTGAATGAGTCTGACTCACTGTGAACTGTTCCTTTAATCGAGGTGTGGCTGTGGTGATGTCACTTTTCAAGTAATTGATGAATGGCCGAATTTTTAACACTATGTAACGTCTGGCGGGTGTTGGGGGGGTGGGGGGGGGGGTAGTCGTACAGGTTGTACCTCTCTAGTCCGGCATTCTATGGTCCGGAAACTCCCGTGGTCTGGAACGATTTTAGTTTGCCCAATATATATATATATATACAGTAGAAGTCCAAAAATCCGGACTGCTTGGGGATTGGGTCGGTCCGGATTTTCTAATTGTCTGAATTCTCAGGCAGTACTTTTAAAATTCAAATTTAAGGAGGAATAAGAAGAGATGAACAGGTACATTTTGATAGTTTATTCATTAGCAAATATAGCATGCTTCATTTATCAAAACAAGCAGTTTTAAGGAAAAAGCTGTGAATTCTAGAATTTTATTCTTTGCCTTTTTTATATCATAAATTGTAGACTTTCCAATGTCGTATGTTTCCATTAGAACAGTATTGCTCACACCACGTTCTAGTTTCTTAATTATTTCAAGTTTGTCACTCAATTTCAACGTGTTCTTCTTTCTCTTCACACAACGAAGTTTATCTACTTTAGGAGCCATTATTATGGGCTTGTACAGTACTCTGTAAATGGAAAGAGTAGGACTCATAATATTGTTATATTACAATGGTATTCTATTCATACTGTGCTTGATATAATGCATTCACGGAAATGTAATATTTTTGCTGAACGTACGTATTACAGTGGAAAGTGGGATAAAATCGTGACGAAAACAATGACTTTCGCTTTCTTTTGTTCAAAAGATGTTACCGTAATCGCTTTTCGAATGGTTTTCAGTTAAAAACTGTTGTATTACAATAATATTCTATCCTAATTGACTTGAATAAATACTATGATACCATATTTCTGAATATTTTCATTAAAATCCATCAAAATCATTTTCCTTGTCATCGTCTGCAGCACCAAACAGCTTCTCCCAGTCCTCTCCTTGAACAGGGCTAGAGGGTACGTGTTTTTCGAATCGTTTTCAGTTAAAAAACTATTACATCACACGTATATTTTACCTAAACTGCGCCTGAATGAATATATTCTCGGAAATAAATAGTAGTTTTGCTGAAACGTGATGTATTTCAATGTAAAATAGGATAAAATACATGACGAAAACAAAAGACTTTACCTAAGCTTCTGTTCTTGAGATGTTACTCGTTTTTTTAATAGTTTTCGGTTAAAATTCTGTTACATTACAATGATATTCTATTCATACTGTGCTTGATATAATACATTCACGGAAATGTAATATTTTTGCTGAAATTACGTACGTATTAAAGTGGAAAGTGGGATAAAATCGTGACGAAAACAATGACTTTCGCTTTCTTTCGTTCAAAAGATGTTACCGTAATCGCTTTTCGAATGGTTTAGTTAAAAAACTGTTGTATTACAATAATATTCCCTCCTAATTGACTTGAATAAATACTTGAATGGAAATATACAATATTTTTGTTGAAAACCACCTGGTGCAGAATTATAAATGGTAAACAATTTGCCTTCAGCACTGGAGCCAGGCACGCTGAGCCCAGCCAGTTAGGGAAGGAGTTGCGTTTGGCAGGTTTGTTGTTCCATTCTCAAAAATGTGGGTAACTATAAACAGAATATCAATTAACGATTTCTTGGTTCAAAAATCAGGGTCGAACTATAAACTAGGGGTTATAGACTTATATATACAGTATGTTGTTTCATTGATTTGTCAAAGTGGCACCACGGGTCGCTTGTTGACACATACAAAATGCCCGCTAAAAAAAAAAAAAAAGAAAAAAATTAGTTTTTAAAAGTGACTGTGGTCCGGATTTCTGCATCCGGATTGGAGTTTTATTGAAACCAGCCACCTTATCTGAATTATTATTACAGGAGTATTACATTTTCAGCCTCAGGCTCATGTGGCTGACCTGTACCTGGTACAATCTCGTAAAAAGCCATGAAATAAGGTTTGTTTACATCCGTGTTCGGCTGTTTCTCTCTCTCTCTGTTTGTCTATACAGAGTACAACATTCAACCTTCAATATATATGAACAGTAAATAAGTGTTGTTTATATGCTTATGTAGAGTAATGACGATATAGCCATACAAAGATTTTACATACGCGATCTACTTTTTTTTCTTTAATATTAATGGTTAGCTACTTATATTGATTTATTAACATTAAATAACATTACTTCAAACAACCATATTAATTTTTACATTACTATACAACCGTGGGTCAGATTTTCTGTTTTTATATGTAGAACCAATCAGTCACTGTTTTTTAAACGTTAACAAAAAATAAGTCATTTCTCCTGTGTTTTAATATTCCACGAATTATTAATGAATTGTATTGTTTATTTTGCACACAAACATATTTAAAAAAAATCAGAAACATTAATTAACATATAGTCGGCTCTTAACATTTGTGGAGTTAGGTAACAGAGATACCCGAATGTTAAAAACCGTGTACTAGTTGCCCCCTAAAAACCGGGCCCCTATGTCCTTATTTACCGAGATACCTGTGTGTAGTTCGAAGTTTAGACCAAATTATTTGGCAAAAATTTAGAACATCTCTAAACGGTAATAGTTTCGTTAGGTTGAAAAATATTTACTCAGTAACTACCAGTAAACAATGGAAACGATGCACCAACACTGGTTTTGTAATCAATGAAAAAATAATGTCTTTATCTCTGCGTTTTAATATTCTACGTATTATTGTTGAATTGTATTGCTCATTTTGCACACATAAGCATTAATTCAATAAAATTCAATATCAGTAATAACTAATGAATCTTTTGTACATAAGAGAAATGACGCTGTTTACACGATTGTAATGCCTTGAACTTTTGCCGACTGTTCAAACTCAAATTTAGCGTTTCAAAATTTTTAATTATGGAGTGTTTCCAAATAAAAACGTTGAATTAAAACTCGCAATTGAGAAGCTACTGTATGACATTTAACCTCAAAATGTCTTCAAAGACATCATGAAAGTGGTGCAAACTGCACAAGTCACTATCTGTCCAAAAGGGTTAATTTCCATGGATCAGAATTTCATGGTCCGGCACCGGTCAGGTCCCGAGGTTGCCGGACTAGAGAGGTACAACCTGTACTTAGCTATTTAAGCAGAATTTTAAATGCGCTCAGTCTAACACATATACAGTGGTCCCTTGATTAACGAACACAATTGGTTCCACAGAGTCATTTGTTAACCGAAAATTTTGTTAACTGAATCTGTTATTTCAATGGGATATTGGGTAATTGGTTCCAACTCATACAAGTACATACAAAAAGCCAAAAATGCCTTAAGTCAGAAACACTCCTAAAAATCCCCTAAATTGCCCTTAAATCACTATACTGTATACTGTATATATGTGTACATATACACTAGAACTCTTAAATCACTACTGTAATGTGGTACAGGTGATTAATTTTTATGTCATGTGCAAAATATATGACGTTTATATTTAAATTATTCACTGTCTTGCAGTGATTCCAGCAGTGCAAATTATATTCTCCTAACTTTAGTCTGTGATATTATATAAGATAAAACTATAAGCTTAACACCACCAAACCCTGGCTGGGAGGGAGGGTGGGGGAGGTGACAGTGACATGTTTGACAGTTGGCTATAGGGTCAGAAGGTCTAGTGAAGCAACAGTATTTATTTGTTTATTTATGTCCTTCAGATTGAGTTTTTGTTTTTGTTTATAAAATGTCACAAGTGACCGGGGAGAATATAATTTACATTGCTGGAATTCTTATAAGATAGTGATCAATTTGAATATAATCATGCTATAGATTGCACTAGAAATTTTTTTTAGTAATCATTTAGTACATTATTTTGAGTACATATACAGTACAGCTTTGCCCTTAGGACAGTGTGTATGTAAATGAGTAAATATAAATTAATAAAGTTACATATCGAGCCAAAAATATTAGTTGAAAAACTTTATGGAGACAGAGTTTGGATGGCAAAATTTTAGAATGACCAATAATTTTAATATAAAAAATGCAAAAATATTGAAGACAACTTTAATGATATTTACTCCACTGGAAAAGAATGTAAACATAGAACCGATTACTGTATTGGCGGACTAGCTGATCAGCTGATCGGGTGATGCGCACAACAAAGCGTGTTTCTCCTAAGGCTTTCGTTAATCGAAGTTTTGTTCGTCAATGGAACTGAAAATCCTTATGGGAGCTAATTCGTTAACCAAAATTTCGTTAATTGAACCATCCGTTAATCGAGGGACCACTGTATATATACTGTACAGGCTTTATATCTAAGGTGGAATTATGTAAAGCATTTTAGAATCACAGCCTCTTTACAATTCATTTTAATTACAGTACAGTAGACCCTTTCCATTCACGATTTTGACGATTCACGATAAACAGCTGGCGGCTTGGGTGCAACATGCGAGCCTT